CACAAACTGTGAGATCATGACCTGAGCTGAAATCGAGAGTTAGACGCTTAACCGACTGAGCCACCCAGGTGCCCTTAAAAAAACAACTTTTAAAAGCTGCGAAAAACTATGATATTGGCATTATCAGCAGGCTGATTAAAACATTAAGTGAACTAACATTTACCGAGCAACCACTATGGGAAAGCATTAATATTTTCTTACAAAGATGATCACTGATTGCTTATTCGTGCAGAAATAGCAACACCTCCTGATGCCCGAGGGGCCAGTGAGTGTCTGCGCCACCTCTATCTGCCAGGAGCATACTCTCGGGTCTCAAGGGGCTGGGACTGTAGATGACATACTTTGAAGGCACTACGTGCTTTTAGAAAATTAGCATGGCTTTAATTTACGCCTCCTTAGCAGATAAAACTGAAATAGCACATAATAGAATTTTAGAATAAGTGTTGATTTTCAGAACTTCTGGGCAGATGGTAGAGAGACTCCCAGTTTACCCCAGACCCAGCTTTCCCTATTATTAACACTAGTATGGGACATTTTTTTAAAGATTTATTTATTTATTTATAGAGAACACAAGCTGGGGAGGGGCAGAGAGAGAGAGAGAGAGAGGAAGAGAGAATCTCCAGCAGGCTCAGCACCGTCAGCGCAGAGCCTGATGCGGGGCTCCAAACCACGAACCATGAGATCATGACCCGAGCCTCAATCAAGAGTTGACGTTTAACTGCTTAACCGACCGAGCCACCCAGCCACCCCTAGTATGGGACATTTGTCATGATTAACAAACCAACACTGACACAGGATTATTAAGTCCGTACTTCGTTATTCAGATTTCTTCGGTTTTTCCCTAACATTAATGTCCTGTTTCTGGTCCAGGATTGTATCCAGTTGTGGAGACGCTGTATATAGTTGTCATGTCACCTTAGGTTGCTCTGGCTTGTGACAGTTTCTCGGATTTTCCTTGTTTTTGATGGACTTGCCAGGATAGTTTTTAATGCTTATTTATTTTGAGAGAGAGACACAGTGTGAGCATGGGAGGGGCAGAGAGAGAGAAGGAGACACAGAATCAGAAGCAGGCTCTAGGCTCTGAGCTGTCAACACAGAGCCCAAGGTGGGGCTCGAACTCATGAACCGCTAGATCATGACCTGAACTGAAATCAGATGTTTAACAGATTGAGCTACCCAGGCGCCCCGACAGATAGTTTTTTTTTTAGGCTGAAATATCTTAGTTTTCTGGGCCAAGTCATGTCTGGTACTCCAGATCTTGGTCCAGCCCGCTGCCAGGAGAGATGGTCAACGAAGTCAGTTGGAATCTGAGTCAAGCGGGCTTCTAGTGGCTTCTAGGTGGGTCTAATCCCACCTGTCCCCAGAGCATTGGTGCTGGCTTCTGCCTCTTGAAACTCAGATGAAAGGGGCGCCTGGGTGGCGCAGTCGGTTAAGCGTCCGACTTCAGCCAGGTCACGATCTCACGGTCTGTGAGTTCGAGCCCCGCGTCAGGCTCTGGGCTGATGGCTCGGAGCCTGGAGCCTGTTTCCGATTCTGTGTCTCCCTCTCTCTCTGCCCCGCCCCCGTTCATGCTCTGTCTCTCTCTGTCCCAAAAATAAATAAAAACGTTGAAAAAAAAATTAAAAAAAAAAAAAAGAAACTCAGATGATGAAGGCACTCCTGCACTATCCCCGACTCGATCTTCCTGCCTCCCCTCTCATAAAAATGGCTTGGCATTTATCTGTTCTATTCTCTTGGAGGCTTGCTCAGGGATAATCCAACAGTTTCTATTAATGTAGAACCAGCTGACAAGGGCTGGCTGGGTCTCTCCTCTCTTGGCCAACACTTGCATTTTAAGTGTGCTTTACAGGTCTGAAAAGTTTGAAATAGCTCTGAACCTACTCAAGAAATGTGGTTCAAGTTTCTGTTCTACTGTGCATCCCTGGAAAGATATTTAGCCTCTCTGAGCCTCAGCTTCTTCATCTGGAAAATGAGATAGCAAATGTGTTAGATCTGAACAAATGCCAATGCTTACCTGGAGCCCTGTATTGGGAAAGATTGCGAGCTTATGTCTTGGTTCACTAGAAAACTGTGCAGGTTTTTTTTTTTTAATTTTTTTCTTAGCAAATTTAAGATTTATTTTTAATGGTTTTTAAAATGTATTTTATTGTCAAGTCGGCTAACATACAGTATATACGGTGTGCTCTTGGTTTCGGGGGTAGCCTCCCATGACTGTTTACATACGACACCCAGTGCTCATCCCAACAAGTGCCCCCCTCAATGCCCACACCCATTTTCTCCTCTCTCCCTGCCCCATCAATCCTCAGTTTTTTCTCTGTATTTAAGAGTCCCTTATGAGGTTGCCTCCCTGCCTCTTTGTTTGAAACTATTTTTCCCCTTCCCTTCCCCCACGGTCTTCTGTTAAGTTTCTCAAGTTCCCCATGTGAGTGAAAACATGGTATCTGTCTTTCTCCGACTGACTTATTTCACTTAGCATAACATGCTCCAGTTCCAGCCGTTGTTGCAAATGGCAGGACTTCATTCTTTCTCATTGCCAAGTAGTATTCCATTGTATGTATAAACCACATCTTCTTCATCCATTCATCAGTGGATGGACATTTGGGTGAAGGGGTTGATTAGTAATGTCTGCCTTGGACACAGGTTAAGACAGTGATGGTATGTGTGCTGTGTGACTGTCATCACTGGATTAGATGATTTTTTTT